AAGAAGATTCGAATTATCTTCCCTTTCTCCTCTAATCCTTTTTTTATTAAGAATTAATGTTAGAGTAATGACAAGTATGCCCTTAAGTGGGCGGCCAGCTAGGCAGTAACATAAAGAGATTAAACAAAAAGAAATAACAGGCCCATCAAGAGAGGCCCATTAGCCAACAAGAAAATGAAAGATATTACAAGAGAAGATACTAAGACCCATTTGGCCCAGTCTCTTTACATGATCATTAATTTAATGAATCACTTAAAACCATATCCACTATATGGGGTTGGCTACATGAATCCTGTTTTGTCAATCCATTCTATTTAAAACCATATCCACTATTAAATTATTAGTGGTAAATCATTTCTTACTACTACCCATGTCTTTTTTGGTCTACCCCTAGCTCTTTTAGCCCCTTCCACTTGTAACAAATCACTTCTTCTAACTGGACCTGTCGGTGGTCTTCTATGCACGTGACCAAACCATCTTAGCCTACTCTCTCTTTCATTTTATCACTTAATTGTGCTACTTCTAGGTTTATACGGATGGATTCATTCCTAATCCTATCCTTTCTAGGTTTTCCACTCATCCATCTTAGAATTCACATATGTACCACACTCATTTTCTAAACATGTTTCTTGACTGCCCAACACTTTGCTCCATACAACATAGCTGGCCTTACAACTGTTTTATAAAATTTTCCTTTTAATCTAAAGCATCATTCTTTTGGTTATTCACCTAGGTAAATTCATTTACTTGAGTAAGTGTTACCTAGGTAAGTACATTTACCCTGGGTAAGTGAGCGAATTCCCTTAAGGACCCCCAACTTTTTTGTTATGGCAGGGGCATTTTAGTCCTATATAGTTTGGCCAATTTCTCCCCTCCATGGGTAAGTAACTTACCCACCTAGGAGGTGGATAAAACTTTTCTAGGTAAGTTGCCAAAAACTTACGCAGGTGAAATTTTGTTTCCATGGGTCCCACACTTCACTAGTAAAAGAACATGGGAAAGTTGGCCCCTAAACTTACCCCCAAATGAACGGGGCTTAAGTGATATTCTCCTATCACACAAAAGTCCAAATGCACCCCTCCATTTTTCCCAACCTGCTATAATTCTCTAGGTGACATCCTCAATCTCTCCCTTGTTATGAATTATTGAACGAAGGTATCGGAAATGGTCACATTGAGTTACCTCTTGGTTTCTAATCCTAAGTGTATCCTGATTTACACTCCTATTATTACTAAATTTATATGTCATATATTCTGTTTTAGTCCTACTCATTTAAAACATCTTGTTTCTAGGGCATTTGTCCATAAGCTTAATTTTGCATTTAATCCTTCCACTTAGATGCGAAAGCAACCTTGTCCTCAAACCTAGTAGGTTTATGCCCAACCACATTAATGTACCAAATTTGAGGCTAGAATCATCTTCCTGTGTTGGGTGGCTCAAAATGATTCTATGGTTTTAGGAAAGTTTAATAAGGATATACACAGTTAGACAAAAGAAGATTGTTACTGCCAAAAATTCTTATTGAACTAAGGCCCTTGCTACTAATCCTAGTTAGACTAGGACTTTGGTAAGTGAATCACAGTTAGACCAAGACTTATAAGTCTCTAAATAAAACTCAGATGAGTGTTGAAAGATTCCTAGTCAAACTGGAATTCCTGGCGTGGAATCCTTGTTGTATTGTGGTTTTAGCAATCAGATGTATTGTCTTGAATAATGTTTTCAATCTCCTATTGCTTATGGATAGAAGTTATAATGTGAATGACAATAATACTTATTGATATGGAAGGCAATTTTAGTAACTTCTAATGTACTAACAACTTAATGCATTCTGTAGGTGGCAATGGATATTATAACTCGATTTTTTTATCCGGATTCATGTGATATTCGACTGAATCATGGCCACTTATTGGATGCAATGTGGACTTGGATAGGAATTGAGGTTAAGCTACGGCACAGTGTAGCAGAGGTATGAGTAATTATTTTGTCCTAAGCTTTGCATGTCTAGTTATGCAAGTATAGGTTAACCTTTTCCCCTTTTTCCAAATGAAGCTTCTTTCTACAATGGGTTCTTTGCGTCCACAATCCTCTGAACGTAAATCAAGATGGGTTTTTATACGGCGACAGCTTTTGCAGGTTTGGAGACATAACTGAAAATCAATTCAATTAATATTGCATGCTCTCCTATATCTTTGAGTTGATGAACTGAATTTGAAATTGACAGGACCACACCATCTTAATTCATTTATGCTTTTTGTAGTTGAAAATGCTCCTTGGTTTTCTCTTGATCTAACAACCACGTTGTGTAGATAATTTAGTGAATTATGTGAGCATGTCTTATGAAAACTAGGGCCTAGAAAAATAAAATGTAATCAATAATTATTGGATTTTATCTATGTATGGATATCTGTTACTTATATGAGAACTTGGAAGTTGGGCAATATATTCTCTTGTTTGTGTAAATTATATGGATTAATGTTTGTAAGTACATAATTCAATATATAAATATATTGAATATATAAAAGCAAGGCAAGCAAAATAAATGGAGACAAGCTTGAAATGTAATTTCACAATCCTTTTTATTGATAACTAGAGGATAGTCTCACTATCAAATAAACAACAATGTTTAAATAATTAAGTGGAAGGAGCATGGGGGGAGGAAAGCAAATAGTGCAAATAGTGCAAGATATTTAGAGAGTTGAAGCTTAACACATGGTTTGTCTTCTATAACATGAGTGGCCTTTTCAAATATTATTAACCTTAGTTTGTGCATTTGGTTTGTCATGGACAAATAGGGATACCTATTGAGGTTAAGAAGGAAATGTGGATTTGTTTTAGTCACTCACATGATACTCCAACTACCCTGAATTGCTTATCTGTAAACAAGTGGAAAGAAGCCTGAAATTATATGAACATATTTTATTTGCAACAACTAGGACTTTAGTTTTCAAAAGGTATTAGGTTTTTTTATTCTTTTGAATGTTAATAGACCATTAAGAGTGAACAAGCTCCAATAAAAGGTAATGTAGAAATTAATAGACCAATTAGAAAGTTGTGCACTTTAGGCATATCAGGGCACTAGGCACACACCTAGGTGCACCAAGCGTGTGCCTTTTAAAAGTAGCATCACCTGGGCTTAGGAATGGCACATGCCTTAAAATGTGCTGCACATGTGTGCCTTGGCACACCTCAGGCAGGCCTTTTAAAACACACTCATACACTTAGATTTATGAAATTGACTACACTGAGGGCTTAGCTCTAGTTCAAAAGATGAACTCTATTTAGATTTTTATCATCTATAGGTGCTATTTTGTTCATGTAAATGTCACGCTGGAAAGAAAGGATTCATTTGCAAAGTGGACTTGGAAAAATCCTATGATTTGGTGGATTGTACATTTCTTTTGGAAGTCGTGAGGAGTTTTGGCTTTGGGGATAGATGGTGTAAGTGGATAAAGGGGTGTGTTAAGTCTTGTCATTACTCCTTTCTGGTTAATGGAACTGTGGTGGATTTTTCCAGGCTTTGCGAGGGATTAGGCAAGGAGCCCCCCTATCCCCCTTTCTATTCACTCTGATTGTTGAGGTTCTTGGTATGCTTATTCCTAGGGCAGATTCACGTGAGCTGTTGCGGGGCTGGAAGGTAGGTTGTGGCAGTGTTCCAATTACTCACTTGCAGTTTGCTGATGATACTTTGCTTTTCTATGAAGGATGACAGTACAACTCTTTGAGCTAATGTCCAACCTTAAGGTGAATTTTGACAAGAATTGTATTGTCGGTGTTAATATGGAAGAAGGGGAGATGTTGGAGTGTGCAAACATTTTGGGTTGTGAGGTGTCTCAATGGCCATTGAAGTATCTAGGGCTTCCTTTAGGAGATAATTCGAAAAAGAGTAGCTTTTGGGATCCTGTAGTTGAAAGATTTGTCAAAACACTTGCATCTTGGAAGAAAAGCTATCTATTCTTAGGAGGAAGGATTGCATTGATAGGAGCCAGGGGAGGAGAAAAAAGACCATTGAGTTAGCTGGAAATGGTGAGTAGAAGCAAGAAATTTGGTCGGTTAGGCCTTGGTAACTTAAAAGGAATGAGGCTTTGTTGGCAAAGTGGCTCTGGAGACTACCTATGGAGAAGGAAAAGCTTGAGGCTTTAAGATAGTGATTGGTATACATGGGCTTGCAGCTGACGGTTGGGATGCTGGAATTCTGGATTGGGTTACCAGAGTGTCTCTTTGGAAAGCCATTAGGGCTGTCCTTCCATCCTTCCTGCTCTATATCAGGTATGATCTTTGTTCTAGTAACCTTATACAATTTTGGGAACAGGTTTGGGTGGGTATTCTACCTTTGAGAGATAAATACTCCTCTGTCTTTGCCCTATCACATTATAAAGGTAAATCTGTGTCATCTTTCCTGATTCCCTCAAGATCAAGAGATGGTTTTATTGGGATTTGGGTTCAAGGAGGGGTGTGAGGGATTCAGAAGTTAATGAGTTCCTGGATTTTCTTCATATCCTTGATGGGGTTTACTTGGAATCGTTGAAACCTGACAGTTGTATTTGCACTCATTATTTCTTTGGTTCCTTTTCATGTGCTTCTTTCATTTGCACTCATTACATCAAATTGAACTTTGATGTGAGTAGTGCTGGAAACCCGGGTCCTTCTGGTATTGGAGGGGTTTATAGAGATGGTGAAGGAAGAGTTATTGGATTATATTTGGGCCCAATTAGAGTAGGCGACTCCCTAAGGGCTGAGGTTATGGCTGTCATGATACAAAAGGCAAGGAAAATGGATATATGGATTAATTAACAAAGGTAACTCAAAGTTAGTAGTGGAATGGTTGCAAAAGGAAGACAAGGTTTCTGGATATACAGCAACAAGAAGAAAAGATTTAAATGGCTAACTAAAGATATGGAAGTGCAATTCAGCTTGGTTAAAAGGACTGCAAATGCCTTCACTGATGTTTTAGCTAAACGAGGGGTGGGAAGGAATCATATGTTTTGGGCTCAATTGCAATTGCATAGTTGTTGTGGAGAGGTAAGACAGTTTACCTTTCACAATCCTGTAATTATTCTTTTATAAATTTGTGAATAAACCCTAGTTGATTCTAGGTCAAAGTAGAGAAGAAGAAAGAAGAAAGAAAAGAGAAAGAAGAAGGTGAGAAGAAGTGTTCGGCCAGACTAGGAGAATGTGAAAAATCACTCTCCTAGCCGACCCACTTGAATTTTATTCATAAARSTTARAGTTACAARAAAGACAATTWTGTCYCTCATAGAAGATGGGACACATAACTTAAACTCAGATACAATA